CTCACGGAGGTTCCTCCTGCTCTTCTCTGAGACCCTCACCCCTCCAAGGACCCCTCTGACCTTCCCAAGCCAGACTCTTTCATCCAAGTGTCCAACCTGGCCCCTGCTCTGAGCTCCATCTCTGCCTCCCAGAATCTCCAGGTAGAGACCACAAACCCCTTCTCCGCGAGAGGGACCCAGCCCAGGATGGACTCCCCTTCCTTCCACATGCCCTCCCCTCAATGTTCCTGCCTGTCAACTCCTCAACTTTCTTCTGGCCACCAAGTCCAATGCGCTTTGCCTCCTCCACCCTGTCCTTCTCTGCCTTGTGTCGGGCACATTTCTGCAGTTCCTGCCACCCCTCTCTGCAGCTGGCAGCCACCTCTTCTCGCTGAAGCACCGAGTGCCTCCCTTCCCCCCACTTGCCACTCTCAACCCACAGTCCTCGCACATCAACCAGATCATGCCCCCTTCCTGAACAAGGCCTCACCCTCGGCCTAGCACCCTGAGCCGGAGCCCGTCCCCTCCCCACGTAGCCCACGCCCCGCTGGGGCCCAGACACATCTGCTCCCCAGACACAGTAACTGCACCTGGCTCTATGCTTCCCCCAACCCCTTCTGCCCAGCATGCTCGCACTGTCCATCCCACCCAACCCATCTTTTTTTATTTGTTTTGTTAATCCTTACCTGAGGATGTTTTTCCATTGAATTTTAGAGAGAGGGAGGGAGAGAGAGAAACATTAACATGAGAAAGACACATCCATCAGTTGCTTCCCACACGACGCCAACCAGGGCCAGGGATCAAACCGGCAACCCAGGTACGTGCCCTTGACACGAACCCTTGACTGGGAATCGGACCCAACCTTCTGTCCACAGGCTGATGTTCTGACTGCTGAGCCAAACTGGCCAGGGCCCACTTAGCCCATCCTTAAGGCCCGGTGACAGGTAAGACCTAAGGATGCTGAGATTCGATTGTTGCCATCCCACCTCCTCCAAAGAGCCTCCCCACTACCAAGAACCTGGCCTAGCCCTGGCCCATTTGGCTCAGCAGTTAGAGCGTCGGCCTGCGGTCCTGAGAGACCCGGGTTCGGTTCCCGCTAAGGGCGCGTACCTCGGTTGCAGTTTGTCCCCGGCCCTGGTCGGTTGTGCGGGTGGCAGCCACTCGATGTGTTCCTTTCACATCGATGTTTCTCTCTCTCTCTCTGTTCCTCTCTCTCCCTCCCACTCTACCTGAACAAAAAATGGAAAAATGTCCTCGAGTGAGGATAAAAAAAAAAAAGAAGAAGAAGAACCTGGCCTAAAGCGCTCACCTCTCAACTCCTGCAGGATCTCAGCTCTGCCCTCCTGTGGCCATTGGTACATACGATCACAATAACAATCATGGCAGTGAATACTCACTGTGCACATGCCGTGTGCGGGTTCTGGGATGAGCACTTTGTATGCACTGTCTCACTGGACCCTCACAGAGCTTCCCAAGGTGAGCACGATTGTGTCCCCATTTAAGATAAGAAAATGAAGCAAAGACAGGCTACGTGACCTGCCCAAGGACGGTGATGCACGTACTCGTCTCGTCTGGAGCTTCCTAACGCTTGCGTGGAGTTTAATTTCTCTGATGTTTGTGTCTTGCTTCACAGATTGTAACGGCCCCGGAGTGGGACAGGGCGCTGGCGCCCTCCCTTTCCCTTCTGGAGCCTCGCTCCATGCCTCGCCCAAGGAGCACGCTGACCCGCTCTGTCTGAACAGCAGGATAGGTGTGGCTCAGTGGACTGAGCGTCATTCCATGGACTGAGAGGTCCCAGCTCGATTCCCAGTCAGGGCACATGCCCGGGTTCCAGGCTTGATCCACAGGGGGGGCGGGTACAGGAGGCAGCCCATCAATGTTTCTCTCTCACACATCTGTCTCTTTCTCCCTTCCTCTCTAAAAAAATCAATAAAAACGTATAAAAAAAAAAAAAAAAAAACTCATGAGATGGTGGCGGGGACAAGACCATAGAGCTGTGCCTCACCACCATCACTGTGGTTTTCTTTTTTTTCTTAATTATTATGAGAGAGGGGAAGGGAGAGGAAGAGAGAAATAGAAGCAGATTAGAGAGAATATCAACTGGCCGTCTCCTGCATGCCCCAAACTGGGAATCGGGACCACAATCTGGGCATGTGCCCTGACCGGGAATCGAACTAGTGACCTCTTGGTGCATGGGTCGACATCAACCACTGAGTCACACTAGCTGGGCTTTCAGTGTGGTTTTCTGCATCATCATTTGAACAGGGTGTTCTCGAATTTGTGTAATGATGTACTCATTAAAATTCCTTGTTAAATAAATCATGTTTCGGTGATTATTTCTAGGGGCGGATGCTTTGCCCAGCTCGGGTCTGATGGAAATAAGCAGTGCAGGTGGGTGGGCCAAGTCTTTTTTCTTAAGTTATAACTTTTTAAAATTGACTTTAGAGAGGGAAGGACAGAGAGAGAAAGAGAAACATCGATCAGTCACTTCCCATACACACTTGACACTGAACCAGCAACCCAGGTATGTGCCCTGACCAGGAACTGAATCCATGACCTTCCAGTGCACAGGACAACACTCCAACCAGCTGAGCCACACCGGCCAGGGCAGGGTGGGCCAAGTCTTTGTGACCTCTACTAAAACCACTGTCAGGAATGGCCACAGTTCTCTTAGTGTTACCACCAGGGGGCACATTGACTTAAACGGAGCTCTTGACCGTGGCAATAGGAGCCTAATTTATTTTCTTCATCCACCTGGCTCCTGACAGCTTTGAAGCGACACTTCCTGGCAGGGCTAGAACCCTGAGAACTCCCATGTGCAGGGAATGATGACTAAAGCCGGGAACTAGCAGCCTGGCACCTCCAGGAAGAACTGGGTAGGAACCAGGCGGTGCCAGTCCCAGCCCCGGGGAGAGTAATTAAGGCACCACTGCAGGTACCTGTCACCCACCCAAGGGCAGTGGCAGCTCTGCTAGTCTTGTCTTGAGCTTTCTGAATCTTGTTTTAACTTCCCTGATCTCTGTGTCTTGCCTCCCAGATTTTAAATGGCTTCTGGGGTCCCAGATACAGATGACAAACAGCAAACCTAAAAAACACCTACTTTCCTTTCTGCATTTGGTCCGTGCATTAGCATCACTGGGCATCCACGTGAGTCCGAAACACCAGCTCTGGTGCCGGGCAGGACTCTGTAGAGGGGTCAGCATGCTCCGAAAGTGGATGAGGCTGCCCAGCTGAGCTAGGGAGGGTCAGGCACTCGGCACCTGATGGCCTGGCTGAACTTTGCTTTGCACAGCTGGGACTCAGGGAGGGGACTGGAACAGAGGTAGGAGCAGCTAGAGGGTCACGGGTGTGGCAGAGAGTGGGGGCAGGGAGAAAAGGCTGGGCTGTGCCAGACACCAGCTACATGAACTTGGGTGGTGGCTGAGGCTCTGGGCCTGCTTCTTAATCCACAAAAACCGGGCACGAGCGCCTGCCCTGCCTGCTTTGCAGGGCTGTTCTGGGGATTAGTAAGGACTGAGTGTGAATGGGCTCTGAGCTGGTAAAGCTCTAGGCAGGATTATTGTTCTCATTCTCATTATTTCAGCATGAGAACCACATCTGCTGACTGCTGAGCTGTATCCGGCCATTAGCTTGAGGTTGGAACTAATTGTTTTTTAATAAAAAAAAAAATTGCTTAATGTTTTATGAGTCACATAAGTGAGCATTTCCATAGCAAGAAGACCTCACGCTCAAAAAAGTCCTGTCAGTCTAATCGTGGCTGCGAAGAGGTCAGGTGTGACTGGCCCTCCTTCCCGAGGGCCCACTGTGCACTTGGCGGGCACACACAGAGAGTGGGGTGAATCAGATGGTCCGTGCCTTCAGGGAGGCCAGGACGGATGAGGAAGGCCTGCTAGGCTCTCTGTGACGCTCAGAGCGGGACTCCCTGAGACAGGCACAAGCCAGGGGCCCCCAGGCAGTGCCCATGGCGGACACTGAGCAGGGCACACACAGGATGCCAGCGGCCACTGTAACCCAGCAGGCGATGGCACTGAGCTGGGCCTTGGACAGGAGTAGGGTTCTGTCCTGTGAAGAGAACATTCCAACTGTGGACACCAGCCCAGGTTAAACACAGGAAGAGGACGGATAAGAGAACACCTAAGAGGGACCCTGCCCTCAAGGAGCTTTTAGTCCACTGGAGAAGAAAATAAAAATGGAGAACATGAAGCCGGTATAAACATTCTGTGCACATAGCCAAGGGCCAAAGGAAGGGCGTGTGGCCGAGGGCAGAGGGTGAGCTGTGCTCTGACCCCCTCAGAGGCTCCCGGCCACGTGCAACAGAAACAGCAGCAGGACTGTTAGCAGACAAGCCTGGACTGTGCGAGGCTCAGCCCTCAGAGGTAGAGTGGACTCGTGGAAAGGGGCCACACTGGGCCCTGGCTGGTTTTCTCAGTGGTTAGAGCATCGGCCTGTAGACCAAAGGGTGCAGGTTCGATTCCCAGTCAAGGGCATGTACCTGGGTTGCAGGTTCAATCCCAAACCCCATGTGGGAGGCAACCAATCAATGTGTCTCTCTCTCATATCAATGTTTCTCTCTTTCTCTCCCTCCCTCTCTTTCTCCCCCTCTCTCTCTTCCACTGTATCTATAAATCAATGGAAAAATATCCTCAGGTGAGGATTAACACACAAACAAAAAGAACAGGGGCCACACAGGACACTAGGCTTACAGAACACTGGGCTTGCAGGACACCCATCCAGTTCCCAGTCTTCTGTTTAAGACTCCATCCTCAGGCCCCTGGCAATGCAGGTCAGAGGGCAGTTCCTCCTGACCCACAGGGCTATCAGCTATCCTTCAGTTATCCTGAGGGGCCTTCTTGCTCAGGGGCTCCAAAATCGGGGCACCTTAACTCATTCTGGCTGAGAAAAATTACAACTTTCCTGAGTGACGTCTCTCCCCAGGGCAGAGAGGTGTCTTTTATTAAAGGAACAAGGCTCTAAAATAATGAGCTTTAGTATCTGAAATCCAATCAGCACAGGCAGGCAGATTTCTCGAAGAGCTTCAGACAATCACATAATTCATAAAGTGACATTTACAAAGAGACGACATGACTGCTTCCCACACTCATAGTTGCGTGGGTGCCTCAGAGTCTGCTGAGGCTGGGATCGGCCCTGGGAGTCTGGAAGTAGACAAAGAGATGGTGGTCTTCTCCTGGAAGTTACTCCGTGGTCATCCCTGCCGACCACAGGAAGTTAAAGATGCTCTGGGGTCCCTGTCGGCATTCCGACTGCAGTGGGATGATTCTGCAAGCCAGGAGCACGGGGCAGGCCAGCAAGGCCAAACCAACAGAAAGAAGAGCTAGGGCCTCTGGGATAAGGGGTCCTCTCTGGTTAAACTGGCCACCTCTCTGGCCGGAGCATGCCTGATGCACCCCTCCCCATGGAAGGCATCCAGGGTTGTGCAGAGGCAAACCCACTGCTGCACAGACCCACTCCCAGAAAAGGGTCCTGCTGCTGCCTGGTCAGACTCTCAGGGACAATGTGTCTGAGGGGTGGGGCCACACAGCATCTACCCCCTTGCTGGCCACGCTGTCTGAATCTCCTTCCCTGTTCTGTGCCTTCAAACCAGTTGTGTTGTGAGGATCTAGGGCTACCCCAGCAGAGCATCCTCTCCTTGGAGGGAGCACATGGCAAGGCCAGCACAGACCCCTGCATCTTCGTTCAGCCAGCCTGCTTCACTGTCCCCAGTCAGCCCTGCCCCAGGTAACCAGCTGCGGCCAGGGAGGAGGAGACTGGGAAAGGCGTCACGTGGCACTATCCAGTGGGGAAGGGTTTTCTGATAGTGCGTGTGATCCAAGTCAGAGCTTCCTACCCCTAAAGAGAATCGATCCGAAAGCTGGAGGAGGGGTAGAGGGCAGGTCATCTTTTCTGACTCGGAGCCCACAGCCACCAGACACTTTGGTGTCTGAAGTCCACATTTATTTTCTTTGTCTACAGGTGAGTCACAGGTGAGCCTGCTGACCAGGATGCTGGGTTACTGTTCCTTTTCTCTCTTTCTTTTTTCCACATTTACATCTGCAGCCAGCTAGCTCCCAGGTGAGTCTCTTTCAGAAGGCACTGATGGGAGACCTAGTTGCTGCCTCCTGGCTGCATTATTAGACTGTGCCCTGAAGGAAGGTGCTTGGTCAAGACGGTGCCCTGAGAACAAACAGTGTTTAAAAGCTGCCCACAGAGCTGTCCAGGAAAAGGATGACCCCAAGTTCATGTCAGAAATGTTAATTAGATAAAATGTACGGTGCTTTGGCCAAAGAGTGTGCCGACTAAGACTCCTCCTGGTTGAGGTTTCTCTGGAGCATGACCAGCGCTGCCCCCACAGCTGCATCCACATCCTGCCCAAAGGACACGGGGAAAGGGAAGGCCCTCTGCACCTCCTGCTTCAGCACCTTGTTCCTGGACAGCGCACTCCCACTGCTGACCACCCGCTCCACGCCCCACTCTCGGAGCTGCTGGAACGGAAGCATGGAGTGCAGGTTCTGAACAATGCCTCGGCACAGGGCCCGGGTCACATGCCCCAGGGAGAGGTCGGAAGAGGAGATCCTGGTCACTGAGGCCAGTTGGTCTGGCAGATGCCTCTCGCCCAACACCGTTGGCGTGATGGTTAGGCAGGTGTCTTTCTGCTCTGCAGCTGCCTGGATCATTCGTGAATACACAGTGGACTCTTCAACCTCCAGGCCTGCCAGGAACAGAGGAGAACTGTGTGAGCTCATGCACGCCCTCAATGCAGGATGGGACAGTACAGAATTCCCTAGGGCAGGGATAGGTCTACTAACTGCTTCTTCCCACTGAGGGACTCACATAATCCAGCTAGCTATGCTCTGCCCCAGATCTCAGCCAGCTCTCTCACTGCAGACACAAGCCCAGACTTCGAGTAGAGGTCACGTAAATGTTGCTGTGAGCCCTAACCATCCCACAGCTACGGGACCCTTGGTCCCTAGGGGGCCACAACACATACACTGATAGTAAGTGCCATCATGGCTGCCACTGGGCTTCCTAGCAGTGTCCCAGAAACCCCAGGACCACAGGGCTAATCGTGGTCCAGCCCATCTCCTGGCAGAAGAGAACCACAAGTCCAGACCAGTGCTTCTCACATTTGAATATACAAAGAATCATTTAGGGATCTTACTAAAATTAAAATTTTCAGATAAGGGAAGTAAACCTAGAGTCACTGTGGAGTCTCATCATCAGCACATTTAACTTACACAAACTCAACTCTACATGCTCAGGAACTAGAGAGAGAGAGAAACAAATTAAATATCATTGTCAAAATTTGATCAGCAGGATGTTGGTTAAACTCTGCTGAATGAATATGTGTCTTTTCTCTAGAAATTCTACTAGACTATCAGAAAAGTCATGTGCTTGGTTAACCTAGTACATGTGCACAAGTATGTACATCTGCAGGACTGAGTCCTTGGAGGGGAAGTGCTAGGTCTAGAGACACGCACATGAATTCCCTCCTCAGAAGCTGTACCAATTTACACTGCACAGCAATGCGTAAGAGTCTCTCTCCATTCCCTAGGAAACACAGTGTGTTGGAAACTTCTTAAAAAATAGATATAAATGTAAAGCCATCAACTAATGGAAAATAAGGGAAAGGAGATAAAGAAAAATAGATCAATCAAATAAAAGACAGAGAGACTAAGGAGCCATGATGACTAAATGCAATGTGGTATCCTGGACTGAGTCCTAAACAGAAATAGGACATTAGTAGAAAAATCATTGAAATACAAATAAGATCTGCAGTACAAAAATAATAGTGATGGCCCGGCCAGTGTGGCTCAGTGGTTGGGTGTAGACCCATGCACCAAGAGGTCGCCAGTTCGATTCCAGGTTAGGGCACATGTCCAGGTTGTGGGCCAGATCCCCAGTGGGGGGCGTGCAGGGGGCGGCCAGGCGATGTTCTCTCTCATCAGTGTTTCTGCTTGTCTCTCCCTCTCCCTTCCTCTCTCTCTAAAAGCAATACAGAAAAAAATAATAATAATGACGTGTTTATATTTCCTTAATAAAAACTCAAAAATGTTTTTTATTGATATCTTTTTTTTAAATCCTCACCCAAAGATATGTTTATTGATTTTAGAGAGAGGGGAAGGGAAAGAGAGAGAGAGAAACATCAACCGGTTGCCCCCATACTCACCCCGACTAGGAATAGAACCCACAACCTAGGTATGTGCCCAGACTGGGAATCAAACCCAAGACCTTCCAGTTTACAGGATGATGCTCCTACCAACTGAGCCACACTGGCCAGGGTCAAAGATATTTTTTTTTAAATGTTAAAATAAAGTGTCCTTCCTCACTGGGAAACACTGAGGTCACACACAGGCTTGAGGAACACATAAGGAGGGTATGCACCAGCCGGAGGCCTGCGAGGTCTGGCTCTGGCCCTGTTTCTGTGGCCTTGGCTCACCACCTCACCCGAACCTAATGGAGAGATTAACTGCTACGAATTGCCAAAGGCCCACACCATGGGCTTAGAACCACAGAACAGGGGAGCTGGGAAAACAGAGAAGAGAAGGGACTTGCCACGGCCACAGAATGACTTAGGGACAGAGCTGAGAACCAAGGCTACTCATCTGGGTTGCACTCACCATGCTATGCTTATTGAACAAGCATTATAGCACACTTACTGTGGGCCAGACACTGTTCTGAGTGCTTCACAATATTAACACTTAATCCTCGAAGTCCTGTGAGACAGGTACTAGAATGATCCCCACTTTCAGATAAGGAAAGTAAAGCACAGAGGACTTAAGTAACCTCCCCTAAGTCACACAGGAGGTGGCAGAGCTGAGATTCAAACCCAGGCCACCCAGCTCCAAAGTCTCAGCTCTAAACTACCATAGGAGTGTACAACTCCCTATTTTTCAATCTCTGGAACATAATGCAAATTCAGGGTATTCTGAACAGAGCATGAGTTTTCTTTTTGTACTTGATGCTTTAATGTTTCCATTTCTGGTTAACAAATGTGACTTTAATCTACGTAAATTTTATTGTATTTATATTTATATGTTTTTTCAATAAAATGACACAACTATAGAAATTTCATAAAAGGTTAAGTTGCATAAAATAGTAACCTTCAAAACATTCTTTGTTTCCTCAAAATAACCAAGGAAATGCAAAAGATTTTTTAAAGGATCCTACAGAGAAAACATTTGTTTCCTCAAAATAATCAAGGAAATGCAAAAGATTTTTTAAAGGATTCTACAGATCAAGTATTATCATGTCTTTCAGGAGTATGAAAAGTGTGACCTCTGTAGAAAGAGAAACACTGGCCAAATCAGTAAACAACTGCTACACCCAGGCCAGTTACACCAGTATCTAGATAAAGGGCTTGTGTGAAGGTTCAGCATCTTGAAAACCTCTTCTGGTACAAGGTAAAACCAAATCAAAGTTCTGTTATTGATTTTTTTTTTTAGAGAGAGAGTTAGAAACATCGATGTGAGAGAAAAGCATCTATCGGCTGCCTCTTGCACACCCCCTACTGGGAATCAAGCCCGAAACCCAGGCATGTACCTTAACCGGGATTCAAACCAGTGACCTCTCAGTCCATAGGACGACGCTCAATCCTCTGAGCCACATCAGCTGGGCCAAAGTTCTGTTATTGAAATGAAGCATTCCTGAGGAGACCCAGCCAAGAGGGGAGAACTCCCCCACACCCTGACTCCCTGGCCAGCCTGAATGGACACACCTGAGTAAGCGACTGTTGTGTGCATGACGGACCACAGAGCCCTCACGCTCCCCATTGCTGTGTCTGGTCTCTTGGCTGTGTGAGACGGGGCTTGGACTGGCCTGGTTTTGAGCTCCTACTGGTAACCAATGAATCTGATGAACATGATTTCCCTACACCTGAACGGCTGACCAGAAATTTCACTTCTGCCTTGAGTACTTAGAAAGGGAACCTCTTCTGGAAGAAGGAGGTTTCATGCTTCCCTATGAATGCAGCGCAGAGGAAGGCCTGACTAGCCCTACCCTGAGGACTGAAGAAGAGAGCAGGAGGTCAGCAGAGTCTCCAGGGGCCCTTCTAAGAAAGGGACTCGGGAACTACTCACCAGGATTAAGTGCTGTGAGGATTTCATGATATTGTAAAATACCAGGAGATTATTTTATTCATTCGTGTTTAATCCTTTTCTTTTCAGTTATCTGCAGTCATCAGAAGGAAAGAAAACCTTATGTGCAAGGGACCCAGGGGCTCACTGACAAAGAAGGGAAGACAGCAGGGGAGGGGAAACTGGGAGGCCATTATGACAGTCCACAGTCAAGGTTAGGAGAGGTGTCCCCTCGAGAGAGTAGGTGACAGCAGTTCAGAAGATGAGAAGAAAGCTAGAAGCTCAGTTTCCTAAGAAAGGGAGAGAAATTCTAGATCCTGGCTGGGTCTGAGATGTGAATCTAGAAGCTTCAACAGCACTATCAGCACTCAAACACCGCCACAATGAAAGGACAAGCAGAAAGGACACCACAGGGTGGGCCAATCTTACCTAGATCCGCCATCCACTGGACCAGCATCTGGACGAACGTGGCTAGCACGTTGCCCCCATTGAGGGACGCTGCCACTGCCAGGTAGGTCCTGTCAAAGTACGGGAAGTAGGCGACTGGAGCCGCAGGGTCTGGACTCTGCACAGGCTGGAATCCGGAAGGCATGGAGGCTGCCAACTGAACCGAAGTGCTGATATTGAGAACTGGGGTCCAAGAAAAGCAAAGGTTAGGTCTATCGGGCTAACTCGAAGGTCACAAGTCACAACAGGGGGGGAAGTGTGCTGGTTTTAAAAATATGTCCAGCCCGGCCGGTGTGGCTCAGTGGTTGAGCACTGACCCATGCACCAAGAGGTCGCCGGTTCAATTCCTAGTCAGGGCACACGCCCAGGTTGTGGGCACAATCCCCAGTGAGGGGCATGCAGGAGGCAGCCAATTGATGTTCTCTCTCATCGATGTTTCTCTCTCTCTCCCCCTCTCCTTTCCTGTCTCTCTAAAAAAAAAAAACAAATAAAGAAAAACAAATTTTTTTAATAAAAATATGTCAAAAATTTTTGGATAGTCTTTCTTTCAGGAGGTAGAGTCTAACCCCCGTCTCCCTGACTGTGGGCTGAATGATACAGCAGAAGGGACAGTGTGTGACTTTGGAGACCAGGTCATAAAAAAACACAGCAGTGTCAGTCTTGGATCGCTTGCTCTGGGAGGAGGCAGGCAGTCCTGTGAGCAGCACTGTGGGGAGGCCCATGTGGCAGGAGCTGAGGCCTCCTGCCAACAGCCAGCTGAGGGAGCTGAGGAGGGGACCCTCCAGGCCTGGTGAAGCCTTCAGATGAGGGTAGCCCCAGCCACCAACAGCTTGACTGCAACCTCATGAGGAACCTGGACCAGACTCTCCAGCCACACCCAGAATCTGACTCTCAGAAACCGTTTCATTTATTATGAACACAGATGTTTCCAAAATAAATTTCAAACCTAGGCACGCGTGCACACACACACACACACACACACACACAAAGAAAATGTGTGAGATAATAAATGTTTGATGTTTTTAGGCAACTAAATATTGGTGTGCTTTGTTACACAGCAGTAGACAACTACTTACAGAGCCTAAGACTTCAGCTGAAATGTTGTCTTCTCTGCAGAGGTCTCATTCGTTTCCCTTCCTTCTCATTTCCAAGGTGGCTTTCCTAACCTCCGCTACGAGCAGGCGGAAAACTCCCAGACCAGGCACAGAGGGGGCGCTTTTCTCCTCCAGATCAAGGCTGGGCATGCAGACTGTCCCAGGAGTCTTCTCCATTTCTCACAAGCCCTGACCAAAAAGCCTGTTCTCCATCTATTGGGGACCAAACTAACTGAGCTCAGCATTCAACTTCCCCACCACCTGGGGGTCAGAAGCGAGGAGAGCAAACACAAATCTCAGAAAGCCAATAACGTTTCCTCGCTGCCACATCAACCTTTCACCATTACCATACACCAGAAGCAATGTACCCTCTACCTGTCCCCTCAGGTGGTGTCGATGATGGAGGCCGGCCAACCAACCGTGCCCGTGGACCTGGCACAGCTGAGCACAGGCCACAGCCCCAACATGGAACCAGAGGCTACAACCCACTCAGTGAAGACGGAGCCTGCACCTCACTCTCCCATCTGACGAGCCCCTCACTCGCCACACAGAGAGCTCATTTACGTCCAGACACAGGGCAGCCCTTTCTGGACGGAACAGCCTGATATTTGAAAACCGCCAGACAGGAGGAAAGAACCAGGCCTTTATGGGCACACAACTGCCAGTGCCTCACAACTACCCATGAGAAAGGCATCATCACCCTCACCGCGGATGATGACACAGGCTTTGGAAGAAAAGCAGCTGCCCAAGGTCACACCAGATAGAAGATTAGAGGGGCTGAAATTCCAACCCAGGCCTCAGGGCTGGACTCCAAATCCCACTGACTTCCCTGACGTTCATGCTTTGAGATGAAGAGACGTAAGGAGAGAGATGGTACACTGATGATGAAAAGTCACAGAATAAACTTAGCATGTTTTCCTGGGGCATTGATTTTAGTTCAAAATTTTGGAGAAAAGGTTTTGTTTTTTAAAACAGTTTTGTTCTTTATTGATCGTAGAGAGAGAGGAAGGGAGGGAGAGAGACAGAAACATCGATGAGGGAGACACATCGATTGGCCGCCTCCTGCATGCCCCACATTGGGGATCGGGTCTACAACATGGGCATGTGCCCCAACCAGGAATTGAACAGGCGACCTCTCGGTACAAGGGTCAACACTCAACCACTGAGCCACACAAGCTTGGCTGAATTTTTTTTAAATGACTCTGTCACATATATGTGCAAACAAAATTGACAGAATTTCACCTTTCCCGCTCAGCTAATCTTCAACTAACAGGAATTACAGCAAAAAAACAAAACAAAATCAGTCACTTGGAATTATTTCTTAAGACTGTAATGAAAAAGGAATAAACTACTACACAGAGACTAGTGCTGGTCAGAATTTTTAAACTCAAGGTTGAATTGAAATCGTTCTGATGGAGGAAGAAAGATGAGATGACAGAGACAACCTGGATAAGATGAATTAATTCTCTGTTCCCCTTGGTAACAAGGAGGGGCTCCCAAAGAGACTAGCTCAGGCAGGCTGCCATGAGGATTAGTGGAAACACACGACCTGCAACCCCCCTGCTCGGGCACACAGGCCCAATTTCTACCCTCGCCTAGGGAGGGGCAAATGACAGCCCACAGGCAACACCACCTGTTTTGGTATGGCCCGGGAGATAAGAACAGCTTTTACATTTTTTTGTAATAATAATTTTACTAATAGGTAGTTCCCATAAATTCACCACAAAATTTACAGTACACAATTCAGGGGTTTTTAGAATACTCACAGAGTTGTACAACCATCACCACAATCTAATTTTAGAGCAATTTCATCACTCCACAAAGAAACCCCATACCTGTTAGCAATCAACCCCTGGCAACCATTAATCTACTTTCTGTCTCTACGGATTCGTCTATTCTGGACATTTCATAGGAATGGAATGTTCTTACATTTTCAAATGGTTGAAAAAGAAATCAAAAGGAGAAGAATATTTCATAACATATGAAAATTATATGAAATTCACATCTCAGTGTCTATAAAGAGTTTTATTGGGTCCTGGCCAGTATGGCTCAGTTGGTTGGGCATTGGCCCATGCACCAAAATGTTGCTGGTTGGATTCCAGTCAGGGCACATACCCGAGTTGCGGGCTTGATCCCCAGTAGGGATGTGCAGGAGGCAGCTAATCAGTGTTTCTCTCTCTCTCCCCATATCCCTTCCTCTCTCTCTAAAATCAATAAAAATATTTTTTTAAAGAGCTTTATTAGAATACAATTACGCCCATTCATTTATGAATAGCAGTGGCTGATTTCATGCTTCAACATAATTAAGTAGTCATTAGGACAGAAACTATATAGTCCACAAAGCCTAAAATATTTGCAATCTGGCCCTTTGCAGAAAAAGTTTGCCAACCCCTGCCCTACACTGCTGCCCCCATCTCACCGTAACTCTTACACCAAAATACAGAAAAGACTCTAGACTTTTAAGTTTTTACTGATTTTTTAGAGAGAGAGGAAAGGAGAACAAGATAGAAACATCAATGTGAGAGAAACAGTGATCGGCTGCCTCCTGCACACCCCCTCCTGGGGATCGAGCCTGCAACCTGGGCATGTGCCTCGACTGGGAATTGAACTGGGACCTCTCAGTCCATGGGATGCCACTCAATTCACTGAGCCACACCAGCTGGGCAAGATTCTAGACTTTTAGTCAGATGGGGCGAAACTTCCATTGACACACAATAACAAAAACTCTAATGTATTAATCTATTTTCTTGGTCGTGGAGTTACACAGAAACCAGACAACTAGAGAGTCATTCCCTCACCTGGCCCTAGAGAGGAAAGGCACAGACCAGGGTCAGGGACCGAACTGGGCCTGCTGAATTGTAAGCTCCCTGAGCAGGGGCTTCACCTGTAGGGAGGAGAGTGTTTTTCATGTTTACAGAGTAATGATGGACAGCATGGTGGGGCTTCCCAGGTATGTGTGCCTCTCAGACCCTCACACACAGTAGAAGTCTGAGGAGAAAACAAGACTTACCTGCATCTGTCCTTTGGGCCATGCAGGAATAGACGGAGGCCTGTAAATCACCCAAGGCCACCCCAACGGGTGTCCCCTTTGGGATTTCAAACCATGCATGGGCAGTTCTGCCTGCCACACTGGCAGGCTCAGCGATGTCGGGGAGCAGGTGGATGGGAAAGCCAGAGGCCGTCAGTCTGAAAACCAAAAGTGGACGGCGTATTTACCCAGTGCTTGATTTTCTGGTTTTTGTTGTTTCCAGGAAACTCAACAAAGGAAAGCACTACAGGGTACAAGTTGGAGAAGGGAGGGTAGAAGCCACTGTTTTCACAGGGGTCTCTGGCTTTTTGAAAACCATGAGAAATAGGTTAGGATTTTTTTTAAAGAGTGAACGCTGGCCTTCAAAAGCCCGAGACTGGCCTTTAGGGGAAGAGAACAATCAGCTCAGGCAGGGGTGATCAGGAAGGTTTAGATAAGAGCCAAACAGCATTGGCATCCGGCCCCTGTGTCCGAGGAGAACACAAACACCTGCAAAGGGAGTCTCAGTGCAAAGTCATGGGTGGTTAGCACAGGCCACACCAAAGTTAAGCCCATCGGTCATCTCCTGAATACCAAATGCATTTGTCACTCAGGGTTAGTGAACATGGGGCTGTCAATTTTATAAAACATGCTAGAAAGTCCTTTACCTGAACTACCAGGTGCTTTTTGTTTTATTACAGAGCTCAGAATTGGGGCCCTGAAGGAAGTGGACTTCTGGACCTGAAAAGGCAAATGATTGTTTAAACAGAACTTAAAAGGCATCCCTAACACCTACTACTTCCATCTCTTAACCTTATTTTAAAATAAGGTTACAGACAACTGGGGAGCCCACCCTAGGTCTTGGTGACTGTGGAGGAGGGAATCATGGTGTAGAAGGTGGCACCCCTCCCCAAGGGCTTCACTTACCACCAGGTCCACCCATGCCCAGTGGAACCTGATTCCCAGTTTCTTAGGATTCTCCACTCTCCCCAAATGGGAAAGCCCAATGAAGCTCTTGCTCTAGAGATTCTGCCCTTCGGCTAGAGCCAGCCTGCAAGGTGATACTCACATCTCCAAGTTCCAGCTTTGGCTCTGGGTGTTGAAATATCCCCAGCTAGCAGCATTCTGGTCAGACATCAGGGGTCTTGGCAAGCCACACAACATGGCAACCACATAGTCGTGGATGGTGCCAGCTGCATCGTAGGACGTCAGGAACTCGGGGCTGTTTTTCATACCAAAAACAACTCAACATGGTCTAATAGTGACTTAAAAGCATGCACTGTACCTAGCTGCTTACTAGACACGGCTGGCGGCCAGAACTCCATGTGCATGGCTTCCCAGGATGGACCTCCTGCAGTGCGGCCCTCCCAGCTGCTCCAAGCACCGCTGTCTTTAGGGGAGGGGACCTCAAGAGAGGATACGCCCTGCCTCAGAAAGCAGGACATCAGCCGTTCTCAGCAGCCCTAACCCCACTGTGAACTCACCACATGACCCTTGGCAAGTCCCTTGTCCTCTCTAGCCCCTGCTTTCCCCCTCTGGGCTAGAATAGAATAACCAATAAGAGCCCTCTGAGAAATGAAGCAGTTCTAGACCAAGTCTAGGTCACTCTCACTGAGGGACAGTAGACAGAGTGATGCTGACCAGCTGAAGGAGAAGACCCCTGGCCACTCTCATTCCCCTGGAAAGACAGCACCCAATTCAGAGAACAGTGGTCTGTACCTATTTTTCAAAAGCCAGAAGATGGTTGCACAGCCAAAACCTGTGGCCACACTGAGATGGGACTCTGGCTGGGGCAGAGAAGTCAGGAACCCGCTGCTACACCGGCCATCCTGCCACGTGACCAGGTGGCTCACAGCTCTGGGCTTGAACGCAGGGGCAGCCCCTCCCTCTGTCCATTCACAGCCTGGAAAAGAGATCACCAAAATCAGGGAGAAGAACAACTGACCAGCAGCAGCATGTCCTGGAGACTGCTCTGCTAGTGAGGGTCTGGCACAGACCGTATCACCCATGACAATGCTTCACTCACACACATGGGTTCTAGTATAGAGCCCCTGGGGTTAGCACCTGGCTCCCCATCAACAGCTATGGGACCCTGGGCAAGTCACTTCCTCCCTCCATTTGTCCCACCTCTTCTATGTTCCTTTTATTCATTTTTTAAAAGTTGATATTATGCCCAGCCAGTGTGGCTCAGTCATTGAACATTGACCCATGCACCAAAAGGTCGCCAGTTTGATTACTGTTCAGGGCACGTGCCCAAGGTTGTGGGCACAATCCCCAGTGGGGGCCTTGCAGGAGGCGGCCAATCGATGTTCTCTCTCATCAATGTTTCTCTCTCTCCCCCTCCCCTTTCCTCTCTCTCTAAAATCAATAAACAAAAAATTAATAAATAGCCCTGGCTGGTTTGGATCAGCGGTGAGTGTCTGCCCAGGGACCAGAGAGACCCAGGTTTGGTTCTGGCTAAGAGCACGTTCCTCGGTTGCAGTTTGTCCCCAGCCCAGGTTGGGGTCGTGTGGGGGGCAACCAGTCAATGTGTCTCTCTCACGTCAATGTTCCTCTCTCTTCCCCCCTCTCTCCCTCCCGCTCTATCTGAAGATAAATGCAAAAAATGTCCTCGGGTGAGGAAGGAAAGGGGAAGGGAGGGGAGGGGAGGGGAGGGGAGGGGAGGGGAGGGGAGGGGAGGGGAGGGCAGGGGAGGGCAGGGCAGGGCAGGGGAGGGCAGGGCAGGGCAGGGCAGGGCAGGGCAGGGCAGGGCAGGGCAGGGCAAGGAAGGGAGAAATGTTGATGAGGACATTTTTCCATTTTTTGTACAGATAGAGTGGGAGGAAGAGAGAGAGAGAGGGAAACATCGATGTGAAAGGGACACATCGAGTGGCTGCCACCCACACGACCAACCAGGGCCGGGGACAAACTGCAACCGAAGTACATGCCCTTAGCGGGAACTGAACCCGGGTCTCTCCGGACCGCAGGCCGACGCTCTAACAGCTGAGCCAAACCAGCCAGGGCCATATCCTCATATTTGAATGACAGTTACAATATTCTCGGTTCTAAGTTCCTTTTCTTCATTACTTAAAAACACTATTTGTAGATTTGTGGCAGATGGCTACAAATTATTTGCTACTCCTCCCATTAAGAGGTAGAGTCTAAATCATTTTTCCTGGAATCTGAGCTGGCCTCGGTGACTTGCTTGACCAAGACAATGTGGTAGGAGTGACACCCAGCTCTCCCAAGGCCAAGTATAAGCTTTGCACCTCCCACCAGAACTTCCTGGAGCACTCACGCAGGGGAAGCCACTGCCCTATAAGGGTCCCCACTACCCTGAGGCCACTGTGCTAGAGAGACTATGCAGAAGTCGCATGTAGGCATCTAGCAAACCACCCCCAGCTGAGCCCAGCATTCCCGCCTTCCCCACCAAAGCACCAGGCACTGAGTAGAACCATCCCAGACCCTCCAGACCAGTCTGTCCACCAGATAAATACTCCCAATAAACCTGTCAACTCCATGTAAGAGCAGATCAGTCAGCTGAGCCTTGTACATTATTTATAAGACATGATATAATGGTTCCTGTTTTAAATCACTCGGTTTGGAGATAATTCGTTGCGTAGCAGTAGATAACCAAAATATTATTCCATTGCCTTTTTATATAGAATATTGCTGTTGAAAAAAATTAAATGTCAATCTGCTTCTAATTCTTTGATATGGGATCTGATCTTTCACTCTGTAAGTTTTTGGAATTTCCTCCTTGCCTCTCAAATCCACTATAATGGATTTAGCTGGGGTTTTCCTTCTCTCTTCTCTGTGACATTCTATGGGCCCTTTCAGTCTGGGGCATTACAGCTTATTTTGTCAGTTAGGGGGAATTTTTCTCCATTCTTCAAATATTCCCTCCTCTATCACTTTCATTTTTCCCCTATGAGACTATTATTCAGATGTTAGTGCTTCTGAATCCTCAACGTCAGCTTTCCTTTGTATTTTCTATTTCTCTGTCCTTTCTTTCTTCCTTCTGAGAAATTTCCTCAATCTAATCTTTCATTCTCTATTTGCTCTGAAGTTTAATCAATTCTATTAATCCCATCTATTCTTTATCTCAACTATTACATATATATATTTTTTAATATTTTTTCTTTATTGTTTTGAGACAGAGAAGGAGAGGGAAAGAGAGATAGAAACATTGATGAGAGAGAACATCAACTGGCCACCTCCTGCATGCCCCCACTAGGGATTGGGCCCACAACCTGGGCATGTGTCCTGACCGGGAATTGAATCAGCGACCTCTTGGTGCACGGGTCCATGCTCAACCACTGAGCCACACTGGCTGGGCTCAACTATCATATTTTTTATACCTAATATTTTGCATGGTTCTTTTTATGTTTTCTTCTTATAGTTTACTTGCTAATATCCTCCTTTAATATATTTTAATATTATGTCAACATATTTTAAATTCTTAGTCTGTTCATTCTAATAGTTCTGCTTCTGATGGTCTCTTGTGAAACAGCTGTACTCTTCAAATGTCCTCTTGTCCTGGCCCAGGAGCTCATTTTGCTCTAGGAATATTGGCTATTCGGTCAGGCAATGGAAATGGACCAGACCTGAGTCCTTGTCAGCCCTGAGAGGCTGGGGAGGATGGATGAATGCTGGGATGGATCCACAGCTCGTCATCCATGCTGAAAAATATCTCCTCGGTTCAGGGCTTCCTCGTCCCCTCTAGGAGGAAACATTATGAGGATCCTTAGATTGTGAGTCACCAGCCCTGGGATTTGGGCAAGGATACCTGCTTTCTTTCCACTGCCTTGATTTTATTCCTCAAGACATCTGAGTTCCTGTGGATGTGGAGACAGGTTCCCCCTCCCAGTTTATCCTTCCACAGGTAAGGCTGGCTGCCTCTTGCCCCAAACCATCAACCCACACAGACCAACTCTGTCAGCCAAGGCTTTCTGACAGTGTTCTCCACTTTCCCTGGTGTTTTTCTCTGATGATTCCTCTAAAACCCATCTTGGGGAAAAGAGTCAGCAGCCAGGCTAGTTCAGCATTTTGGTGGCAACTGCATCTAGAAATCCAGACGTAGAGGGCTCTTAGAATTGTTTCCTGAATCCTGGTGGTTCTTCCTGCCCATGAATTGACTGCACTCTCAGTCTAGTAGCAAAGGGGAGGGTTAGAGTCAGGGTCAGGGTTGTGTGTTGTGTGTACTGTGTGTGTAAAGTTGCATGTAGTAAATGAGTTAACACATGTAAAGCACTTAGAACAGTACCTAACACATAGTACGCACCCAATTAATGTTAGTGATGATGATAATGTTGACGATGGCGATTAACTTTTACCTTCTAAATTCTAGTAGCCTTTGAAAAAAGCAATATAGTCCATTATATATCTTTTGTTCTCTTTTCCCACACCTCTGTGCAATATAAATAAAACTACTGCAACAGAGTGAGAAAAGAATGTTGGCAGTCAGTAAAGGTTGTCAGCAATCAAGGACACTCTAAATAGGGGACGGGGATGAGACTCTGGCCTCCACTGTAGGACAGTGCTGCCATGAAGCCAAGCAGGGCAAAGCCCTACACAAAGCTGTTTCATGGTTGTGTCTGATCTCAGACCCTAGATGTGGGAGCCAAGATCATTACAATTTTCCTATCAATTTGCTCGTTAAGAACCAAAGAAAGTGATGTAACTGCCCCTCAGGCCATGAAACTCATTCATTCATTCATACACACACGATTGAATGATACATTTATTGAGTATCTAATATGTGTTAGGCACTGGTTCTAGTCCCTGAGATTATAGCAGTGAACAAGGAGAAGTCACTGCCTTCATGAAGCTTATATGCTAGGGATACAGAACATAAGCAAACAAATACATAATACCAGGTACTTTTAGTTGTTATGAAGAAATACACAACAAGGTAAGGGGACAGAGGGATAGACTGCTGGACAGTGATCAAGGAAGCTCTCTGAGGTGACATGTGAGGAGGGGCTTGAATGGAATAAGAGAGTGAGCCATAAAATATCTAGGGAGCCCTGGCCGGTATGGCTCAGGTGGTTGAGCATCTTCCCCTGTACCAAAGGGTCATTGGTTCAATTCCTAGTCAGGGCACATGCCCACGTTGTGGGTTCAGTTCCCAGCCAGGGTGGATTTGGGAGACAAATGATCAATGTTTCTCTCTCTCTCCTTCTCCCTTCCTCTCTAAAAAAAAAAAAAAAAACAATAAGAACATATTTGAAAAAAAAAATATCTGGGGACATGTGTGGCATATAGATGGAACAGCCAGGCAAAGACTCTGAGGGATCTTGTCGATTTCTGGTTGGTATCCCTGGCCAATACCCAAAAACCCAGGGAGGCATGTTACAAAAGCATGCACCTAAAACATCTCATGTTTTTCCTGGGGGTTCCTCCTGGGAGTGGTCTACCCTCACAACACATTTCTACCTAATCTTAAAGCTGGGAGCCTTATCCCAGCCCGAACGCTAGATCTCTGAAGCTTTTCTTCAACCCCTTTATCTACTTCCAAAATTAGCTGTTTTTTATATTTAGACTATCATTTTAGACTATCATTTTTATTTTCTTTGTATTATAAAACAAATATGGAGTTCTTACCATGTACCAGGTATTATTCAGAGAACTTTAAAAATATTAATTCATTTAATCTATATAACACCTTATAGATGTGAAAATTATCCTCATTTTACACATAAGAAAAATGAAGAACAGAGAAGTTAAAATTGTTTTGCCAATGTTCACCTAAATGGTAGAAACAGGATTCCATTCAGGTAACCTGTTTCAGAATCTGGCCTGAGAGATACTTTTTCCTCTGTTCTTTCTTTTTTTTGGTAAAGAATTTGATATTTTTAATTTTTTTAATCACACACGTAAGTGAATGCATTCTCAATATAAAATGTTCGAATATTACAGATAAAGCAAAAGGCCAGCTTGACGATTCCCCACCTGAGTCCCAGCCCCTTCCTGTCACTGTCAGCTCTTGCTGGGTAACCGTCCAGTTTCTAGCTTACACAGATTTGATTTGGTTTGGTTGGTTTGAGTTGGGTTTTTTGTTGTCTATTAAAAAACATAGTACTGCCCGGCCAGTGTGGCTCAGTGGACTGAGCATCGTCCCATGGACTGAGAAGTCCTGGTTCGATTCCCGGTCAGGGCACATGCCCGGGTTGCAGGCTCGATCCCCAGTGGGGAGCATGCAGGAGGCAGCTGATAGATATCACATAGATGTTTCTCTCTCTCCCTTCTTCTCTAAAAAAAATCAATAAAATATATATATTTTAAAACAACAACAACAATATAGTACTACCCTGTACCTTTGCATGGGTTGTTTTTATCATCCAACATGTTCTGGAGTTCTTTTCATGTCAGTATATATGAATGGACCTTATTCTTTTTAGCTACTGTGTATCATTCTTCAGCATGGGCACAAGAACACTGTTGAACAGCTCCCCTACGATTAAATGTCACCTTTTGCACTGCCATAAACAAGGATGCAGTGAACGGCCACAATTTTGCCTCCTTACGTACATGCTACATGCGTGTCAAAGTACTTTTCCTGCACAAATTCCAAGTAGTAGCGCTGCTGAGTCATAGCAGCTATCTCATCTTTTTCTTCTTTTAGAAGCTACGGTACCTTGTTTCTAATAGGCCCCGCTAAATTGCCCTCCAAAACGGCTCTGCTGATTGATATTTCCAACAGTTGTATTTAAAAGAATGTATTTTCCACCCCTTTGCCAACTTTTGACATTATCGAACTTTGATTCTCATATTCTCATATTGAAATGGTATGTCATTATTGTTTTCATCTGTACTTCCCTAATTACTAATGACATTGAGCACCTTTTCATATGCTTATTAGGCATTTGTATTTCATCTTCTAGGAACTGCCTGTCTTTATCCTTGGCCCATTTTTTCACAGGGCCATCTGTCCTTTCTTTGTTATAAGTTCTTTATATGTACCCATATTTGTCCTTTGTCTACTATACACTAGCAAATCATTCCTCCCAGTCTGCTGCTTGCCTTTTAGCTTGGTTTTATGATCCCCACTTCTCTCCTGCTATTACTGAACCTAAAAGTGGAGTCTTGAAACAGGCGTAACCACAGGCCTCTCAGAAGACACTAGTCACTCCCTTTCCTCTCCGCCACTGCCTCACCTGTGCCCTCATGGAAGCACTTAGCTCTCTGCTCGGGTTACTGGTCCCCATCTATGTTGACTGCCTTGAGTGTGCCCTGGAAGGTGAGGGCTTCATCCATTCTTTTCTATGTCTCCCGTGGGGCCCACCACAGAGCCTTCTACATTGTAGGTACTAAACCCAAACTGAATTACGTCCACCATTAAAAGCAGAACGACCTGATCCCAAATTGATTTCAACTAACTCTGCTAAGCAGGTATCATCATCGTCCAACAGTGGCAAACAATGGCTTTCCTCCTTCCCAGAAACAGAAAACAAGACAAAAGGGCATGTGGGCTGGCTCAATGAAATATTAAGCAGCTCTCTTCAACAGGAGAGCGCGGCTTGTGTGGTTGTTCCAGAGTCCAGGAGACGGGCAGAAAGGAAGGCGTGTGACTAGACCACAATCATTAGATCTCTGCTGTCCTCTTTGGAAAGGGTTTTAGTATTAAAAGGGCATTTATTCTCGTTAATGCAAAATTAAGGAGTTTAAAAAGCTTTTACAACCTAGACTCCCTCTGAGAGGTCAGCTCTAACACCCTAATCGGCCACTGCTCTGGCTACTGATAGGAGCCAAGCAGTTCCTGTGGTCCCAGCTGGCCTAACAACAGGCAGATGACTGAGAGAGAAGGAAGGAGGGAGCTGGCACTGGCTTCTCTGGGTACCCAGCCCATCCTAGGGATTTCTCAAAGGATGCAGCACTAGACACCAGTCACCACTTGGCCCAGGGGAATCAGAATCACTGCCTCTCCAGGCAGGAAGGGGTGAATCCCATGTTCAAATCCCCTTAACTACAGCATCCCAAAGTAGCCACCCATCTTCTGCCTAAAACACCTGAATTAAAATGTTGGTGTTTTTGAAGCTGGGGGATGGGTGTATTGGTTCATAATATTATTCTCCCTATGTTTACATCAATAGAGGATTTTTTATAATTAAAGAAGATATTTTCAGTGATTGCCATAACAGGGAACGCACAACTGTCGATGGTGTCTAACGCCTCCTTGGACATTGGGTTGGAAAGTTCCTCCCTTCATTAAGCTATTGTGTCCCCCTGTCACTCTGTTCATCCCAGAGGTATTTATGTATGTATGTATGTATGTATGTATGTATGTATGTGGCCCTAGCGGGAACCTGGGACTCTCTGGTCCACAGGCCAATGATCCAACCACTGAGCCAAACCAGCAGGGCCCAGAGGCCTTTAAAAGCTCAGCGTCGCCCTGGCCAGTTTGGCTCAGCAGTTAGAGCGTCGGCCTGCGGTCCGGAGAGACCCGGGTTCGGTTCCCGCTAAGGGCATGTACTTCGGTTGCAGTTTGTCCCCGGCCCTGGTTGGTCGTGCGGGTGGCAGCCACTCGATGTGTCCCTTCACGTCGATGTTTCTCTCTCTCTCTCTCCCTCCCACTCTATCTGTACAAAAAATGGAAAAATATCCTCGGGTGAGGATAAAACACTAAAATACTTAAAAATAAATAAATAAAACACTAATAATATTAAAAAATAAAATAAAATAAAAATAAAAGCTCAGCGTCTACGCTCAGACGTATCTGGGTTCAAAAGCTGGAGTCACCACTTGCTGCCATATGACCAACAACATATTATCTTAATTTCTCAGAATCTCAACTTTTCATCTGCACAACAGGGGTAATAATGTAACCTATGTCATAGGGTGTTGGGAAAGTTTGATGAGATCATGCAGGTAACATCCTTTGCCCAGTACCTAGTATCTTGCATGTAAATTGCTCATTGCTATTTTACTGGCTTAGTTCTTTCTCCTCCAGGAAGCCAAACAGAACAGGTCACCCACCTCTGAACAGACCTCATGATATAAGATAGTCAACTAAATGATGCTTAGCTAGCCCTGGCCATTTTGGCTCAGTGGTTAAAGCGTCAGCCTGCAGACCAAGGGTCTCAGGTTTGATTCCCGGTCAAGGGCAGGTACTTTGGTTGCAGGTTCAATCCCTGGCCCTGGTCTGGGTTGTGTGGAAGGCAACCAATCAATGTTTCTCTCTCTCTCTCTCTCTTCCTCCTCCTCCTCCTCTTCCTCCTCCTCTCCCTCTCTCCCTTCCATTCTATGTAAAAAAAAAAAAAACTAATGGAAAAATATTCTCAGGTGAAGAGTAACCAAAATAACGATAATAATAATGCTTAGCCAGCAAATGAGCCCATAAAAAGGACACACCCTAGAATTTAAAAATCACAAATATCTGAAAAAAAAAAAAAAAAAAAAGAGGCCTTCCCTCTGTGTCTTGGCATCTCCTACAGCTATACTACCTCTTGGTTGCTAATAGTGATGCTCTGAGACTCATCAAGAGAAAACTAAGAAAAATCCACTGCATGGAATCCTACAGAGAATCAGAAAGAACTCACTCTTCTTCCTCCTCCTACTAATTGCTGATGATGTGTGAATGGACAGTTCACTGATTCGCTAACGTATTTGTGCAAGACAGGACATACACAAAGTATGAGGCAGCATGTGCCACTGCATCCCCACTGCTGACCCTCAGACAGACCTTGGCAGCACGTTTTTCACTCCACAGTGACTGTTGACAGCGTGTGATCACCCCGGAGCCCAGCATACCTTGGCCTGTTTTCCAAAATAAGACTCCATGCATCTGTCCTGACACTCCGATGCCACAGACTTTCCGGAGCTGCTGCCGGGGAAGAGCAGCAAGGCACTCGTTTAAGGCTTGGATGATTCTACTCACATCCTGCTCCCGAGCCTGGAAACAAAACAGGACACATAGGGTAAGGGCCCCAAGGGCTTTCCTGGGTGGTGGCTGCCCAGCTAAGTCCACTGGGGTCACGTGCTGACTGGTCTCAGGGAAGAGATGTGAGACTGAGAGCTCTCCACCCCGTCCCGCAGGGCTCAGAGCAGGAATGTGGTGGGCAAGGTTCCACTCCGTTCCTTCACAGATGAGGCCCCAGGCCCTGCCTGCCACTGTGGGTGGGTGTGAGCTGATGAGAGCACTGCCCCTGTCCCACAAGAAGTTACAGTCTAGCAGGGAGGACAGGAAAGCACAGGACAGACCCTGCTGTCAGAGATAAGGTAAAGGTCTTTCCCAAGGCACATAGAGTGTTAGGGTAGGAGATGGATGAAATACCCAGGGAAGAACATTTCCTGAGTGCCCTGAGGGCCAGGCCCAGGACTTGGAAACAATAACACACCCAGGAAAGGTGGGCACAAAGAAGGCCATGGAACACCTGGGTACAGAACCAGGGGGATGGGCTATGCAAGGGGGTGGTGGGCAATGAGGCTGGACAAGAGGACAGGCTGGGACCCAATCATTGGGCCTGAAGCTCACAGTAAGGGACCCTCCCTAAAGGTAATGGGAAGCCCCTAGGACTTTCTGAATGGGAGGATATCATCATCAGAAGATACTCTGTCTTTTCAGATTAATTGGCAATGGTAGGAGCTACACAGAGAGAACCTGATAGTGTAAAGAGATTTGGGGGGGTGGAAAAACATTTTAGTGAGGACCATCTTTTCCTAATTTGTCTTTCCTTCCAATTTGCTGCCTCCTTGAAAACTTTTCTCGGCAGAATCACCTTAAAAGACAAAGTCATGAGAGATAAGCAGAATGTGATCAAGCAGCATATAAATAGAGTCTGATGATCCTAAGAGACAAGAATAGAAAAAGAATGTAGTATTTGGAAAAGTTCAAAGGTCTTCAGAGTCAGATGGGAAAATGCATTTTGATATCTCAGAGCTAAGGAAATGCTAAATCCATAATGAACAAACTGGACTAGCAAGCAAAATAGACAGACTCATAGATACAGAGCAGGCAGACAGCTCTGGGGCGTGGGTACTGGGAGGGGGGAATTGAGGAAAAAAGAAAAAAAGAGAGAGAAATGCATAGACATGGACAACAGTGTGGTGATTGCAAGTGGTGGGGTGGAAGAAGGCATCAAGGGGATAAATGGTGATTGAAAAAATAAAATTAAAAATAAATAAATAAATAAATAAAATGCTAAATCCACTCAAGCATATATCCAAATTAGTGGGAGGTACAGGCACTAACTTCCAAAGGAGACAATAATGTGACTCAAACATAAGAAATTTTGGTTCTGGAGAAATTCCAAAATGGGGACAGAGTGAATAGAAGCTATACAGACCATCTCCCAGGACCAAACTGGAATTACAACTAAAATAAAAACAAATTGTCAGGAAAAAGCAACAGAAAAGCAGCTTGCGAGGACCATATAACCAGCGACACCGACTCGATCCTGGTAGGATTGCGGAGGCATGCAAGGGGGTCTGGGAGCCCATAGACAGCAGTGGTCTTAGCTGTGAGCAGCGCCCTCAGGTTAAACTCCCAAGCGGCTCCACAGTCCAGAGCCACAACAGAAGCTAAAATAGCCACAGCCACTCACCTTGGGCTCCGGCAGAGGGAGGGCAGACTGGACAGGAACTGTGTGGGGACACTCAGGATTTGGAGGGCACTCAGAGCTTTTGCTGAGTTGCAGCCACGCAGGACGGTGGCCATCTTACTCTTTCCCAGGGCTCTGGGGAGAGGCGGAGGCCCATCCCTTGGAGATTCAACCCCACCCAGGTGGGCCATTGAAATGCAAATTGAGGCTCATTAACAACCAGAATCTGCCCCACCCTCGGGAAATACCCTCACGCTGAACACCTGAGGGAGTTTTTCATTCAACTGAGAACCCAACGCTCTTCAAGTCACCCCTACTGATAGCCTCCAGGCAAAAAGCTAGAGGATAACTGAACCATTCCTGGGCTAGCAGGTCTAACCAGGAAAGTAAGACTTGACAGAGGTGTTTAACGTGGGTCCTCCCTCTCTCATCCAAACCCAGGAGAGGGAGCTACAAACAGCAGAACACCAACACCCACAGGGAAAACATGGCAGGCTCCAAAGCCCACTGTGATAGCCAAAATGGTGAAACAAAAAAACAAAAGCCAAATGGAAGAACAAGAGACCTCTACCAAACATGAGATAAATGTGGAGCAGTTAAGCAAGTTAACAGAGCTAAAATTCAGAGCCATGATCTTGAGGAAGCTCAACAGCACGAGTAAGGACATTAGCACCATGAGTAGACATAGAAATGTTCAAAATCAACCAATTGGAAATGAAAACCACCAAGAAGAAATAAAGAATGACATATCAGAAATAAAGAACACATTGGAAGGTCTAAACAGCACAGCAGAGGAAGCTGAGGACCGGGTCAGTGAATTAGAAGACAGGGTAGAAAAAATCAACCAATCAGAAAACCAAAAGAAAAAAACAATTAAAAAACAGGAAGACAGCTTAAAAGAACTGTGGGACAACTGGAAATGTAATAATATTCGCATCATAGGAGTCCCTGAAGAAGAAGAAAATGATCAAGGGTTAGAGAATATATTTGAAGTAACAGTGACAGAAAACTTCCCTAATTTGGTGAAGGAAGAAGGCATTCAAGTTCAAGAAGCACAGAGAGCCCCAAGTAAGAAGAACCCAAACAGGCCCACACCAAGACACATAGTAATTAAAATGCCAAAAATTAAAGACAAAGAGAGAATCCTAAAAGCAGCAAGAAAGAAGCAATAGGTTACCTACAAAGGAAACCCCGTAAGGCTCTCAGCTGACTTCTCAACAGAAACACTACAGGCCAGAAGGGAGTGGCATGAAGTAATCAAGGTCATGAAAAACAAGGATCTGAATCCAAGACTACTCTACCCAGCAAGGCTATCATTCAAAATAGAAGGTCAAATAAAGAGCTGCTCAGACAAAAAAAAAAAAGCCTAAGGGAATACATTAGCACCAAACTAGCATTGCAAGAAATGTTAAAAGGATTGCTGTAATTAGTAGAAGAAATAGGAAGAAAAATATAACCAAACTAAACAAAAATGGCAATAAATAAGTACATATCAATAATCACCTTAAATGTGAATGGACTGAATGCTCCCATAAAAAGACACAGAGTACCTGATTGGATAAGAAAGCATGACTCATCTATATGTTGTTTACAAGAGACCCACCTCACAACAAAAGACTCACATAAGTTGAAAGTGAAGGGATGGAAAAAAATCTTTAAAGCAAACGGAAAGGAAAAAAGAGCTGGGGTAGCAATATTCATATCTGATAAAATAGATTTCAAAATGAAGGCCATAACTAGAGACAAAGAAGGCCACTACATAATTTGAAAGGATCTATCCAACAGGAAGATATAACCTTGATAAACATATATGCACCCAATATATGAGTACCAAAATATATAAAAAATCTTCTGGAGAACTTTAAAGGAGAAATCGACAGCAATACAATCATAGCAGGAGACTTCAACACCCCGCTGACATCACTGGATAGATCCTCTAGACAAAAAATTAGCAAGGAAACAGAGACTCTAAATGAAGCACTAGACCAAATAGATTTCATAGATATCAACAGAGAATTACACCCCAAAACTACAGAATACACATTCTTCTCAAGTGCACATGGGACATTCTCAAAGATAGACCACATGATAGGACACAAACTAAATCTCTACAAGTTCAAGAAGATTGAAATCATATCAAGCATCTTCTCAGATCGCAATGGCATGAAACTAGAAATCAATTGCAACAAAAACATGCAAAGACATTTGAACACATGGAGGTTAAATAGCATGTTATTAAACAATGAGTGGGTTACCAAGGAGATCAAGGAAGAAATTAAAAACTTCCTGGAAACCAATGAAAATGAACACACAACAACACAAAATCTATGGGATGCAGCGAAAGTAGTTCTGAGAGAAAAGTCCGTAGCACTACAGGCCTACCTCAAGAAACAAAAAAAAAATTTCTAAAAGACTACCTAACCTCACAACTTAAAGAATTAGAAAGCAAACAAAAAGAAAACCCCAGAGCAAGTAGAAGGAAGGAAATAGTAAAGATCAGAGCAGAAATAAATGACATAGAGACCAAAAAAACAATTCAAAGGATCAATGAAACAAACTGCTGGTTTTTCTAAAAGATAAACAAGATTGATGGACCCTTAGCTAGAATCACCAAGAAACAAAGAGAGAGAACCCAAATGCACAAAATCAGAAATGAAAGAGAAGTAACAACTGACACCACAGAAATTCAAAAGATCATTAACAACTACTATGGACTATTATATGGCAACAAATTCAACAATCTAAGCAAAATGGACAAATTTCTAGGACCACATATTCTCCCAAAACTGGACTGGGAAGAGATAGAAAACTTGAACAGACCAATAACAACTAAGGAAATTGAAGAGGTAATCAAGACTCTCCCAGCAAACAGAAGCCCAGGCCCGGATGGCTTCACAGGAAAGTTTTACCAAACATTCAAAAAAGAACTAACACCCATTCTCCTCAAACTATTTCAAAAAATTCAAGACTAAGGAAGACTTCCAAACTCATTTTATGAGGCCAGCATAATTCTAATTCCAAAATCAGAAAAAGACACTACAAAGAAAGAAAACTACAGACCAATATCCCTGATGAACATAGACGCCAAAATCCTGAACAAAATACTAGCAAATCGAATCCAGCAATACGTCAAAAAAATTATTCACCATGACCAAGTGGGATTCATCCCAGGGATGCAAGGATGGTACAATATTCGCAAATCAGTAAATGTGACACACCACATAAATAAAATGAAGAATAAAAACCACATGATCATATCAATAGATGCTGAAAAAGCATTCGACAAAATCCAGCATCCATTTCTGATAAAAACACTCAGCAATGTGGGAATGGAGGGATCATATCTTGACAT